GGTGGTTATGTCCCAATGCCTGGAAGTCAGCCAATTTTTAGTGTGTGGAAAGCCACAATGCTTGCCATTAGATTGTCACAAACCTAGTTCGTGAATGCTGCCCGTGTCCAGCAAGTAATGCTGGCCGTGAGATGATGCAGTATTCCAGGGCACTGCTGATGGCAGCACATCCAGCAGGCTCATTGGCAGGAGCTGGAAGGGCAGACCAACTGTCAACCCAATGGGTTCCTGTTAACCCTGTGAGCCAAAGCCCTGTTGGGTAGGTTGGTCTTAGCTGGACAAACAGCGGGAAAGCTTGCCAGACAGCAATATCAATGGCAAGCTATGTGGTTTTAGCTGGTTAGACTCCAGCAGTACCCCAACACACACTGTGAGATCCCAAGTCTTAGCTCTTGCCAACCTGCACCTAATACTTTCCAGATTTCCATGTGGAATTCTCAGCTTGGTTTGGATACTTTTAAGCATGATTATGGGTTTGTGCATGTGTCAGACACTTGGAAACTCCCCTCAAAAATCATCCTTTTTTCATTAATTTAGTCCTGTCTACATTGTGATTCAGATGGACGTGAAGGGGATTCCACCACCTTGCTATTTCAAAGAAAGATAGAATTTACCCATGTTTTCCTGGCTTACATTCCCTCCTCATCCAAACTTAACTTAACCAAAACTTTTAAAATTACTTACTCATCTCATTATTATTCATAGGATGTGCCAGGTTCAAATTAGTTGCTGTTTTTGCCTCCAAAACAACATTTGTTTCATTTCTAATTATATTTCTATAAAGCACTTTACATTTTAAAGTGGGCCTTTTTACCTTGTGGAATACAAGTCCTTTACGATGGCCAAAATAATAATAATAATCCTTGCATTTGATATAACTCCTTATCACTTCTTCAAGACGTCTCAAAACGCTTCACAGAAGATACTGTAAAGTGAATTGACTGTATATTATGTGGGTGAAACACGGCAGCCAATTGCGCGCATTCCCAAAAACAGTCATGGATTGAAGTGACCAATTTATTATTTTTTTTGGAAGGAATTATTATCCCTGGAAAACGATCCGCCAATCGACTAACATAGGACGGCATAATCACCTTACTTCATTCTCCTACTCTTGGCATTACCTTTCTCTTCAGGTAAGGCAGAATAAGGAAAGGAAGTATATTAAGTAAACAAAAAATTAAACTATTAAAGCAATGGGAGACCTCAGAGACCCAAGAGTTCATGTAATAAAATCTTCAAAAGTGAGAGAGGAAGCTGAGAAAACTATAAAAATAGCTAGTTGGTCGTAGGTTATTATAATTAGATTTGTAAGCTACAAAACTAAAAAGGCGATGCTAAATATTAGAAGGATGTCTCAAAGCTCTTCACAGGATTTAGTGTAGGTGAATGCAGCAGCCAATTTAAGCACAGCAGTGTCCCACAAACAGTCATGAAGTGAATGACCAAACTTATCTGGGGATTTTGGGCCAGGGATACAGGAAATTAAGAAATAAACTCCCTCCTCTTTTATTGAATAGTGCCATGGGGTCTTTAACGATCTTCTGAACAGGCAGATGGAACCTTGGTTTAACATCTCATCCACAGGATAGCACCCCCATTACTGCAATAGAGTGTCAGCTTAATGTATATACGTTCTAGGATGCACAGAACAGCATTTACCATTTCAAAATGCTTGAATAACCAGCTCTTCAATCACATTAAAAATGATTTTTTGAACAAAGTATGAAAGGGCTTGTTTTGAATGGAGACCAAATGAATTCTCACTGTCTGCATTTATACTGCAGCAATGCAAATTAATTCCTACCGAAACCACCTCCTCAAAGTCTCCAGTGAGATTTCCTTTCAGATTGTGAACCGTGAACAGGATTTATACAATGGTTTGAGCATTGATTCAGCACCATTTCTGCAACAAATTAATCAAAAATGGGAGTAAAATAGAGCATAAAACCACCTTCAGAAAACTTCAGACAGTTCGGCGCCAATCAGTCAGAGTCTCTAGTCTAGATTCTGCTTAGAAAAATGCTCCACTGTACCTCATCATCTTATCAATATTCTGCACATCCGAAAACCTATAGCTATGTGGTTAAGCAGTGCTGCAGAATCCTTTCCACAAATGGAGAATGAGAAACGTCTAGTATTTCAGCACACAGGACGTATTGAGACTTCCAGCTGAAGACTAAGACCCAAGTGCAGGACAGCATCAAGGTTGAAAAAGAACAGGAGGGAAGATGAGATCATTCGTCCTGTAAAGGTCTTCCCACCACACTGAAGGCAGATGCCTGCCAGATAGCTGATGAGAAAACTCTGAGGTTTGGGGTGACAGCTGCTGGAAGGAGATATCTGGAGTCCCAGTTTGTGAACATGTTTGTACGTCCAGCATCTGGAATCCACCTAGATTGGCCTCCAGAGAGGTAAACAGGTGCTGCTTAAACTCCAATTCCAATTTTCCAATTCCACAACTCCAATTGGTGGAACCATCGCTCAATGTGCCCGAGTTGTCGACAGGAAGACGGTGGAAATGCTCCATTCATTTCATGCTGAAACGCGCTGCCCACCAGGAAGCTCGCAGCGAGTTCCGTGTACCTACCATCTGCTAGTGAGGGCTCAAACCTGTGCTTGTCTGATGTTAGAAAAAACTAGTGACTATCCTCCTTGGGAGGAAGGTAAGCAGGGTTACTTGCAGCTGAGCTGGCTCAAACGTGATATGCTTGACAACGGAATGTTGGAATTGAGCCAGACCTCTCTGCGGTCTCAGTTTCTGAGCCAGTTGGGTCCGCAGTATTCCAGGGCACCGCTGATGACAGCACAGCACAGCACAGCCTGGCTGATTGGCAGGACCTGGAAGGGCACACCTATCACTGGAGACAGGGAGTCATCCCACTCAGCTCCAGTTAACCCTGCAAGCCAAAGCACTAACAGGTAGGGTGGTCCTAACTAGATAAGCAACAGAAAAGCTTACCAGACTGCAATATCAATTGTAAGCTATGAGGTTTTAGTTGGTTGGACTCCAGCAGTACACCAACACACACTCTGAGCTCCCCAAGCCTTCGCTCTTGCCAACCTGCTTTCCAGAATTAGGTGAGCAGGATGTGTCCCTCCAGGGAGAGAGAGAGCACATTCCATTCGAACAATCTTATCACTGGGATTTCCATGTGTAGGTGGGATACATGGAATTCTCTGCTTGGTTTGGTTACTCTTAAGCATGATGATGTGTTTCCGGATGTTTCAGACACTTGACTGATCAAAAAAACACGGAATCATGGTTTGGTGGCACCACGCTTTGGTTTTAGTCTTAGAGGTGTGGGAAAGAATGAATTGGAGGTGACTGTTTGATGAGTCTTGACTTCTTCTCTTAAACTACACAGTTTGGCAGATATGAATATTTGCATTTGATATGAAGCCTTACTATATTATTGAAACATCTGAAAGTGCTTCACAGAATTTGCCGTAAAGTGTAGTGACTGTGTATTTGTAGTGAATGCAGTTTTAGGTGCATTTGGTCAAGTAAAATTTACTAAACGCATTACACCTCCATGTTTCTAAGATCAGAGCACCACTGTGCACATACACAACAAAATATGTCTGGTAGATGATGCAGGGTTTACATGCTTGTATGTATCATGGGCTTTGGCACTCCACGAACCAAAGGAATGCCTAGTATGAGCAGTGAGTCAATCCTGGCTGGTTTTGAGTGGGGCCTTGGTCATAAACAGCCCTTATGTGCTTTGACCTCTGGCTACAGACTTTAATGAGTCCTGTGTTACAAAATACACAGTATTCATCTGTGAAAACATCCCCGCTGTACCTGCCTAGCTACATAGCTGTAGGATTTGCATAATTTAATGTGTTTCATTTTTCTGCCGAGCAGCTAAAAATAGTATCATTTCTGACCATAGCTGATTTCTAGTATCCGTGGGGAAGCAGGAGAGCGGATGAAAGGAGTTGGAAATTCCACCCAATCTTAGCCTGAAAGACTATTTGTCTTAAAATTTAAGATTGCTCAGAAGTGTAGAAAATTCTTCCATTCAGGCTTAATTTGAAAGCTGGTTTCTTTTCAAGAACTGTGGAAAACTAATTTCTAAATTAACAACAACGAATTACATTTATATAGTGCCTTTTTCATCAGAAGGATGAATGAAGGTGCTGGACAGTCAAGGGTTTTCAGTCGAGCTGGGGGTTGGAATCAGGAGGGGTGGAGCGTGGGATGGGAAGGTGGCCCAAGGCACAGTCAAAGAGGAAGGTCTTGAGATGAGCCTTAAAGCAGGCTTAAAATGGGCCTTGAAGAAGGCAAAGGAAGGGTCTAGGCAGATGGATTCCGGGAGGAATTTTCCACTGTTTTGTTCCATCATAAATTATAAGGTAAGATGGGCTTGTAGTCTGAGACTCTATGGAATTCCATGCCGTTGGATGCAGCATAGTTCTCTGATCAGTGAACAACATGGAGAGCTCTTTGCAGGTACCAATGTCCTGTCATCCCATGACATAGCATGCTACAGTTCTGACACGCAGTATGCAACCCAGGTATCTATCGGCAGAAGACTAATCCTATTTATATTTAAAACAACCCTGAGGTTATACTATAGGATTTATTAAATAAATAAATAAATGCGCGCACTTGCGCGCGCACACGCGCACACACACACACCAACACACGCACACACACACACACACATACATACATAGTCTTCTGCCGATAGAACCTGGGTTGCATACTGTATGTCAGAGCTGTACCATGGTACATGCAAAGCATCTTGGGACGATCTCCCAACGTGAAAGGAACTTTACAAATGTAATTTTGTTGTTGTTTCTCGTTTGTTCCGAATCACCACCCAAAAAAGTCGATCGTGTTTTAACTGAAGACGATTAGTAATATTTATACCTTGAATTGAAGTAAACATCAGATTTATTATCAGTTGTACCATTTACGATAATTATACTGATTAAACAAAGCCCAACAAATTGCAATGAAGTGAAACAAACTCATGCATTCACGTTACCTCCAAAGAAGTATTGGTCGCCAGTTTTGACTTGCATCGGGCTGTTGGTCCGCACAGCGGAGGCATCGTCACCATCGATAGTGAGAATGGCAAAGTTCTCCTTGGCCAGAAATCGTACAGTGTGCCACTGGCCATCGTTGAGCTCTGCACCTGAAAGTAAATGACAAGGCTTCAGTACTGTTGGGTACTGAACTTGCTGTCGTTGGAGTAATGAGGCTTTGTAAACAGTTTACAATTAAAGAGGAGCGAAGAGGAGCAATCATTTCAGATAATGATGCATGCTAGTCAGTGTAAATATGAATAAAACATTCCCGCTCAACTTGCGCATTCAGGAAGAATATCAACATGTTTCTAATGCACATCTGTGCCATGACCTACTCTGCCTTCTTCCACCTCCGCAACATCGCCCAGCTTCACCACCGTCTCACACCGGAGGGCTCCGAAATCCTCATACACGCATTCATAACATCCAGGTTTGACTATGCAAACTTCCTACTTGTCAGCCTCTACAACTCCTCCCTCCATAGGCTGCAGATCATCCAGAACTCTGCAGCTTGTGTCCTCTCTGTACCAAGCTCCATGATGCTATCAATAGTTGATTGCTGTCCAGGACATGGGGACAAATTCACTTATTTTTGAATTGGCCATGGGATACCGAACATTCAGCTGAAACGAGGCAGACAGTTCTTTAGTTTAATGTCTCATCAAAAGGACGGTACCTCCGACTACCCAATGGTCTGCATTGGAGTGTGACTGTCGACTGTAAACTCAAGTCCTGATGTGAGGCTTGAACCCACAATCTTCTGACTCAAAAGGAAGTGTGCCTTCAACTGAACCAAACAGCTATACATAATTGGAATGAGTTCAATACAACTATAATGAATAAAACTTTCATTTAATCCCAAGGTCCTATTTGTTCTGTATTGTATTCAACTTTTGCTCTTCTTCAAAATAAAGTTTTCTTTCAGTGAGTACTCCAAGTACTGGATCATACTATTATCCATTTGCAAACAGCATCACCACTGATAATCCAGAAATTTTTAGATCATCTAATTTCTAAATTGGATCAAGATGCTTGCTATAAAGCACTAAATCTAAGAATGCAAGAAATCCTATTAGTTTAAAAGCTTTTAGACAGTCCATGTTCATGTTACACAGATCCTTTAACTCACTGGAGCTGTCTTTCTAAACAATATATTGCATTTTCAATAAGAAAAGCAGCCGGAGAAATGTCACCTTGTCTTATCTTGTTAGCAGTTTTATTTGTGGTTGTTCACCTTCCTCAAGTGCCAGATTTGTTAAGCCAAAGTTGACTGTAAGAGCTGAATAACTTTCTCACTCCATTCTTTTGTTCTTATGAATGAATGAAAGTGCATTTCTATACAATTTCGAATGTCAAAACACATTCACAGTAAATATTGTCACATCCAGTCATGGTTTTTTGTAAGCAAATGTGGCAGCTATTTTGCAAGCAGCAATGTCCCTAAAACAAGCACGATGCAAATGAATAATAAGAGGAAGACAAATCCTTACATTTGCTATAGCAATTTTCATGTTAGGAGGACATTCCAAAGTATTTCACAGGACATACTGTAAAGTATGGTGACTTTTTTTGAAAAAAGCAGCAGCCAATTTGCACACAGCAATGTCCCACAAGCAGCCATGAAGTAATAATATTTGGTGGATTTTTGGACAGAACACCGGGAGAAACCTTTTTTTTTAAATCATGCCATGGTTGCTTTACCATCCACCTAAAGAGGGAGAGGGATTTTGGTTTAATGACTCATCTGAACCACGGCAACTCCAACAATGCAACAACAACAGCAACTTGCAATTATACAGCATCCTCCACGCAGAGTAGGGACTCGGAGCGTTTAACAGTGGCGGAACCTGACTCCGAGCCGGGGGGATGGGGGGAAGGTGGCTGTAAGCACGGTCGAAGAGGAACATTCAGGCAGGACATGAAAAAGGAGAGGGAGGGGGCAATGCAGAGGGACTGAAGGAGAGTGTTCCTGAGTTTCAGGGCAGTATCTCCAATGCAGCACAACCTCAGCATTGCAATGGAGGGTTATCCTAGACTGGGGCCTCAACCAACGACCTTCTGACTCAGAGACGAGAGTGCTACCAACTGAGTCAACGCGACACTAGATTTTTGGCCAAGGTACTGGAAGAAACTCTCTTCTCCTTCTGCCTGTTCTTCAATGTCAATCTGAAGAACAGGCAAACAAAATCTCAATTTCACATCTAATGGTGAAGGACAACTCTTAAAATATAAAATAATTGAGAGTGCTGTCCATCTCTAGAAGGGTCAGTGGGTGAAGACACCATGAATTTCCCTATTTCTTCCACAAAAGGCTCACATTCATGCTGGGTTTATATTACGCATCTGACATCTACAGCATTCCCACAGACCAATCTGTCATGGACATGAGGTGTTTTGCTTTAAGGTCTATCTGGTTGAACTGTACGGTTGGTCACTGCTATCATTTTGGTGGAGAAAACAGCCAGTGGTGTTGGTTATTGAGTCAACAGTCAGTGGTGCTGGTGGAATCCTGTAGCTCAGTGGTTAGAGCACTCGCTTTGCAAGTGAGAGACCTGAGTTCAATTCCAGACAGAGGGCGAAACCTTGGGCAAGTTTCCTTACTCCACACGCCTAATTATAATCCCTCCAAAACCAAAAACAATAATAAATTGGTCATTTTCAATCTACGACTGTTTGTGGGACATTGCTGTGCACAATTGGCTGCCGTGTTTGCCCACAAATATACAGTCAATTCACTTTACAGTGTGTTCTGTGAAGCGCTTTGGGACGTCCTCCCGACGTGAAAAGCGCTATATCAAATGCAACAACAACAACAACAACAAGATTCCATTTATAGAGCGCCTTTCACGTCAGGAGGACGTCCCAAGGCGCTGCACAGTTGGGTCATGACCCGAGCAGGGGGGAAATGGTCAGGGTGAGGGGAGGGAAGGGAGGGAGAGAGGAGGGGGAAGAGAGTCGAGAGGGGAGCTGAAGGCACGGTCAAAGAGAAAGGTTTTGAGACCGGCCTTGAAGGAGGAAAGGGAGGAAGCAAGGCGAAGGCACTGGGGGATGGAGTTCCAGAGCCTCGGGGCTGAGAGGCTGAAGGCCCGACCACCGATAGTAGGGCGGTTGGGGCGGGGGACGTGGAGCAGACCGGAGCCAGAGGAACGGAGGGTACGGGCAGGTAGGTAGGGGGATAGTAGGTTGGAGAGGTAGGAGGGAGCAAGGCCGTGAATGGCCTTGTAGGTGAGGATGAGGATCTTGAAATCAATCCTCTGGGGGATGGGGAGCCAGTGGAGGCGAGCGAGGGTGGGAGTGATGTGGTCCCGAAGCCTGGTGCGGGACAGTACACGAGCTGCAGAGTTCTGAATGACCTGCAGCTTGTGGAGGGAGGTGGCGGGAAGGCCGGCGAGGAGAGAGTTCCCATAGTCCAGCCTTGAGGTGACAAAGGCGTGAACCAGGGTTTCAGCAGCGTGAGGGGTGAGGTAGTGCCGTAATCTGGCGATATTCCGGAGGTGATGGAAGGCGGTGCCAGTTGTGGTGCGGATGTGAGGGAGAAAGGACAGCTCAGGGTCGAACAAAACGCCGAGGTTCCTGACTGGCTTTGAGAGGTGGAGAGTGCAGCCTTGGATGCTGATGGTGTCAGCGCCTGAGGTGCGGAGGCGCTGACGTGAGCCAATCAGGAGGGCCTCGGTTTTTTGCACGTTGAGCTGAAGAAAGTTGTCTCTCGTCCAGGACTCGATGTCGGATTATGCAAGGATTATTATTATTATTGTGCATGCACATTCCACATTGTGGAATGGCTCTTATCTAACTAAGAAAATAGAACTAATAAAAAGTCTACTCTCAAACTCTCCTGATATTCAGACACAGCTGCTTGGCCACTGCCACTGAAATCTGGTTGCGGTTAATCAGCATAAAAAAACAATGTAAAAGATCCCTTGTATGGATGGAGTATGAGACGTAATTGCACCGTCTAAATGATGCAAAGTGAATGTAACAAAATCCCTGAAGAAGAGGGATTTGTTATTACAAAAGCTGTGGTCAAGCTATGAGTGACAGTACGTCAGTATTGCCACTTGAGTCACATTCACAATGCAGCTAATATACTCAATATACAGCTCCAACACCAGATGTGTAGAATGAAAAACTTATGTGACTGAAATCTGCATCAATGAAAGGCATCTGCCAATCACATCCACCTCTGTAGTGAATTGTAAGACAAGTCACCTGAAAAGCACAGAAATTCTTTAAAATGCTGTGTGTGTGTGGTGTATGTATAAACACTGTTCCCAATCGGGTCTAAAAGTCAAATTTAAAAACAGTTCTTTTCCCCAAAACTGTAAGCTTTTTTTCCGCCACACATTCCCACTCTGGTTGTAGATAGCAAATTAGAGAGTTGCTGACCTGCTTCCAGAGTCATTCTGACACTGAAACTGCCTCCCTCACCTTGAGGGGCTCACCAAGTTAAATCTGGTGTTTAACCCGTTAATCTAACTAGCACTGCAGTAGTTTTATTCCAATTTTTCCACCTGCTACTAAAAACAGGTATGTCATTCATCAGATAGAACCTGCTCCGACATTTCAACAGTGCCTTTGCGTGAGGGTCTGGCTCAGTTCGTAGTACTCTCGCCTCTGAATCAGAAGGATGTAGGATCAAGTTCCACATCGGGAATTGGAACATATATAGCCTTTTTCTGTCACTTTAATGCAGTGCTGGGGGCCTGCTGCATTGTTGAAGGTGACATCCTTCAGATGAGATATTAAACTGAAGATCCATCTGCCCGTTCTTGAGGACATTAAAATGGCACTACTCAAAAAGAGAATGGATTTTCTCCCGGTGTCCTTGCCAACAATTGCCTGAATAAAATTAATTATTCACTTCATGGCTGTTTGCAGGACATTGTTAGATGCAAATAGACTGCTGCATTCGCCTACAAAATGCAATCACTATACTTCACAGTAAAATCCTGTAAAATGCTTTGAGACATCTTCCCAATGTTAAACGAGCTATATCAAATGAAATAATAATTATTATTAAATTCAAGAACTGCATGTCTTTCCTACAATGATTGAGGCCCACTTTTGGGAATAGGCTTTTAGCCACCCACCCGTTCCTCTGGTATGA